GTTTCCCATATTCGATAACTTGCCCCGATATCGATATCGAAATCGTGTTTTTTGATCAATTTTGATAAATAATAAGAGCTAGAGTCACCAAACAGAGTTTGACAATAAGTTAAAGTGCTTGTTATCTTTGACTTAAGTCCATTAAACTAGCGCATAAATACCACTTAACATCTAGCCAGGGTAGATTTATGCTTTTCTTCTACAAAAACCCCAACTTTTTATTGTTCGACAAACTCGAGCAAAATGGAGTTTAACTGATGAAATCTCGACGCGCAGCAAAATGCTGCTGCTGCTGCTGCAATGTCAATCAGCTTAGCGTCATTCGATGGCTGTCAATGGCAATTACGTAAAAGTCAAGTCTTCTACAAATCACAATGTGCGCTCGACTGGAGCTCTCTTGGAGATTCGCAGCTACTATATGGTAACTATGGCATCGTTGATGCATGTGCTTCAGAGCTCTGGCAAAGTTCATGTACATCATTTGTCCTGCCGCTAATGGAAATCCCCTTGGTTGATGGCAACCGGCACTTCGCCTCGCAGCTGGCTGATGTGCACTTTTGTCAAATAGTTGTGCACAGTTCGAACGTGGCACACCTTCACACGCTGCTGGCCAACTGGCCAAATCCTCGCCGGATAACTGCACAGAAATTCTGCTTGATGTTCGATTAGTTGACGCGCCGAAGTTGCCAAATACTTTGGCCCCCAAAAAATTGATGTCACTGGCATGTGGCATGTGGCATGTGACCAGCAGCAGCAGCAGCTGCTCAGCTGAGCGGGAGCCAGGTTTTCGGCACTGATGTGGCACGTTTTATGGCCACAGCGCCAACTTTATCCTCAGACGACAGTGTCAACGTCTGTTTCGAGTCATTCTCATCTTGCGACGTTTCTCACATGTTCGCTGCAATTCAGTTGCAATTTTTATGTGCTCCTACACTCAGAGAAAAAACGAACTGAAATTCTTCTAACAACATTTCAAATATATAAATATTTTTTTCAGCTAACTATGAATCAACTAATATAGTGTGACTTATTGATCCTCAAATGAATCGATTGAAAGACTTTTTTTTTGTGTAAATTATTTCAGAACCTTTCTCTGAGTGTATGCACTTGGGGCTGACTGCCCCTCGCTCCGCTTTGCCGGCCTTTCTGGCCTGCCACACGCGTCAACACTTGCAGCCAATGTGCGAAGAAGAAGTGCTGCATCTTTTAGGCGCCAGCTTTGAGCTGCAACTTATAAATTTGTCATACGGCAATTTGGGCAACATTTCTCAGAGACGTGCAACTTTGTTGCGGCTTGTGAGCTCTTGCTGCTGGTTGGGTTAATTCGGCAAATGAAGAGCACTTGGTTAATTTATTTATTGATGATATGCCTCTACACACAGCCAAAGGCACTTATCCTCATATTTAAATAAACATTTGGCAAGCTGTCTGGATAAAATCGTTTGCAGTCAGCAAAAAAAAAGAAAGTTTCTAGGCAGTTTTCTGTTGGTTCATTAGCAGTGTTGGAAAACTTGGCAAATGTTTGCAGTTGAATTAAAAATCATATTAAAATATTTGTATATTTTCGCTAATTTAACTTTCTGAACGGGCGCTGATGACGCCAAACAACATCGTGAAGCGTTCTAATCAAGCATTTGCCGCTGCATATGCAAATTTTTGATGTGTGTGCCTTGGTGTGCGTGTGTGTGTGTTTGGGTGTGTGCGTGAACATAATCACTGCACATGAATTAAAAAGTTTTCGGCATGCAAAAATATTTTGCAGTTTAAAGCAATTTGAAGTCATTTGTAGCCAATTTACAAATGTCTGCCGCTTGCAGCAAGTGTGCGTGTGTGTGTGTGAGTGTGTGTTCTCAAATGCAATTACGACTGCACACACACACACAAACAGACGCACTAATACGTGGCCATGGCTTTTGTATGCCAATGCAGCTCAGCTTTTCTGTCGTTCAACGTCAGGCTATGCCCTATTTTTATAAGGAATGAGTCCAGAGGGTTTCATTCAAGTGAACAGTCAGAATGAATGTCACAAATAAATCTTGAAGATGCTTTAAAAATTGCGACAGCTCTAGTAAATGATATTAATATACTTCAAATTCGAAACTTACTTTAGGAAAACTTAAACATTTAGTTTTAGCTTTGCGCAGGGTACTTAATAGTCGAGTCAACGTTAGGACTCTAGGTTCAACTAATTTTTTGAGAAGTTGTGCGGGGTATCTAATAGCCGAATAACCTCCAAATGTTTATAAATGACCTACACGTCTGCTTTAAATTCGATGTTTAAATTGGGAATACACAATTGTCTTTTCTTAGAATATGTTTAGGGTATTTGATAGTCGTGTCTCCAAGCAATGTCTCCAAAGGACCTACACCTCGACTAAAAATTTTATCGTAATCTTAAAGAATACACAACTGAATTTTTAGAACATTTTTGCAGGGTATCTGATAGTCGAATCACCCTCTATGATTAAATTCGGAATGCAAAACTGATTTTTCTTAGAATATGTGTAGAGTATTTGATAGTCGCGTCACCTGCAAGCAATGTCTCCAAATGATTAACATGTCAACTTAAGATTGAAAATTTATACAGGGTATTCGATAGTCGAGTCCACTCGAGTAGAGCTGACTTTTTCGACTTAAATAAGTCATGCTAATGGCAAACCATTAGCGAAAATTTCGCTCGCACATGTGAGCGACTGAGTGTGTGTGCGTGTGTGTGTGTGTGTGTGTGTGTGTGTGTGTGAGTGTGTGATAATTAAGTTGCATTTGTAACTGCCATTTGGTTGTGCATATGCACCAATTTTCTCTGTGTGTGAGTGTGTGTGTGTGTGTGTGTGGGACGACGGCGACTTTGCTAAATGAAAGAGAAATGCGATTTTGAAGGCTGCTGTTAAATATTTAAATGTATTCCTTGGGCCAAGGCGTGCCAACTATTCTGAACTATTATTGTTGTTGCAGCTGTTGTTGTTGTTGTTGTTGTTCTTCCTCTTCTTACTGTTGCAACAGCCGCTGATTACACAGCGCTTACATCAAAGCCTAATTGCCAAGTAAGCTAAAAATAAAATTGGCAGCAGAGCTGCGAGCTTTCAAGGTGCCGCAATTTGTTGAGAAGCCTTGAAAGCGCTTATTATAGCTAACATGCTGCTTGTTGTTGTTGTGGTTGGAAAACATATAAAAGAGAAGGCCTGATTTATTCGGAATGGTTGGCTTTACTTTTTATATATAATAGGCAAGAGACGAGAAGGTGTCGGTCACAAAAAAATTAAGCAGTTTCTGTGGAACTTCCCTTTGTATACTTTTCGCAGCTTCAACTAGTTGGGAATTGCAAGCGAGATTTAAACCAAAATGTTAAAGTCTCGAGCTTCAAACATATTAAAAAAGAGGCCTGATTTGGTTAATTTTTCTTTTGATAATAATAAGAAGCAAGAGACGAAATGCTATCATTCACAAAAAATGAAGCAGTTTGAGCAACAAGAAATAGTTGGGAATTACAAAAAATTGTCAGGAATTAGTTTCATTTAAAATGTTTCACTTGAACTCCAAGTCGGGTTCGGGAATGCAATATAAGACAATGTAATTCAGACAAGAAGGTAAAATCATAAATAATAAAGTAGTTTGAGCATCAAGAGCTTCCCCCCTGAATACTTTATGAAGCTTCAACCAGTTGGGAACTGCAAGCGTCACTAAAAACAATTGTCCGAAAATAGTTTCATTTAAAATGTCAAAGTCTCGTGCTTGCAAACTGGCTTCAAGAATATAAAATAATACAATTTGCAGCGACGATCATAACATATCTGTTATATTAAGTCTCGTGACAGCAATTAAAATGCCAGTGACAACAATATGAACGTATGCACTTAATATTTCACTTTAATTTACCTTTTAATTGGGCTAATCAACACGCTAATAGCCGCTGCTATTAACTTACCCACACACACACACACGCGCGCGTATACATGCTGTGCCTGTTTCTGCCTATGGCCATTTGCAGGACATATTTTATTGTTATGAGTTTTGCAGTCGAGTCAAGTGGAGCGGCATGTGGTGTGGCATGTGGTGTGTGGTGTGGTGTGGTGGGGTGTGGCATGTGGTGTGTTGCACGTTGAGTGGCTCGGCCGCCGTTGGCCGCTTTCAAAATTGCACTTTAATGACTAATTTGGTTTTTGTGCACGCCGCTGGCAGCCAGTTGCCCGTTGCCCGTTGCCAGTTGTCAGTTGCCAGAATGAGTCCAGGTCCAGTCAATTAACAAAGTGCCAGAACGAGAGACAAGACATGTACATATCTTTTGCTCTATTCCCCTCTCTCTCTGCCTTGCTCTTTGTCTGTGCAACTATGTCCCTTTGTCACAGGCTCGCAAGTGTCGACGGAAGCGCACACTTGAGCTATGACGATACGACATTTCCTTAATGAAGCCAACCAACACGCACACGAACTACCCAACCAACTGAATGTGTGTGTGTGTGAGGGCTGTAGAGATGGGCCAGAAAACAGACACGACTGGTTCGTACCAAGAAATGCATTTTCATGCGTGCCCAAAAGCACGAAAATGCACGATGAAGCCTGAGGAATAGCTAAGTCAAAGATTGGTCAAGATCTGAATATCGCAGCTTATCCCAGCCCTATTCTAAAACTTTCTGGACTTATCAAAATTTATCTGTCCGAGTTCGTGTTTTTCTCTCAAGTATGTCTCGTGCTCGTGCCTAGCCCTGCCTCGAAAAGGAAGCCCGCGCTTTGCCATCTCTAATGGGCTGCCTAATTGTGTTCTTAGACAATATCTACAAGTGAGCGGGCTCACAGGGCGCTGTCATAAAACTTAACAGCTGCAAACAAACCGAGCTCAGTAGTTCGTGAAGTCGTACAACGTGGCGTATGCGTAATTATCATAACTTGCAGCTAGATTTTTGCGAGCTGCAGCAATCGACGCATATCAGATGGTCTGTCTGTCTGTTTGTCAATTGGGCTGTCAAAGAGCAGTGCACTTAAAAGGAGTTGACTTGACTCACCTGACACCAACAGCTCGCTGGTGCTGTTGACCAAATTGTCCATAATTGGCTGGAATGTGTAGAACGTGAGAGTTTCCAATTTGTTTGCCTGCACATTGATTGACAGGAGCGCCGGTGTTCCGCGCAGCAGGCCATTGTCGATTTTCTTTAGCAAATTATTGCGCAAATTCAAAGTTTTCAAATTGTTCAGACCGTCCAATGCACGCTCCGAAATGCGCTGTAAAGAGTACAGGATATTGAAAATTGTTAATTAATTCACAGATTACTTGGCTTAATTCCATACAAAAAAGATATTAATACTTTATTGTATTTAACATTTATAATAATTAAATACATTTTAACAAGTGTATGTTAGCTGGGAGAGTCTGAACTGCAAATACCCTGTACTTGGAGTATATTAAGTGTTTTTTCTTAATTATTTATTTTATTTAGATCTTAAATATGGCAATTATATGTTTATATATAACAAAATTGCAGAGTTTACCTCATGAAATGGGTTATATATATTTTCTTAAAGTGGAAAAGTGGTATCTTTAGCTAAGCCAAAGTACTGAAATATTTATCTAGCTATATTAATATATTCACATATATCTACTCCGACTGTAGTTCATATAAGCCGAATATATATATAGATATACATATCTAGATATTCATATATCTACTTTATCTCTATCTCATATAATTCGTATATATACATACATATACATATCTTGATATACTAATATATATATCTACATTTCTATCTACCCTATGTATATACATAGTATACATAGTATACATACTACATACTACATACTACATACTACATACTACATACTACATACTACATACTACATACTACATACTACATACTACATACTACATACTACATACTACATACTACATACTACATACTACATACTACATACTACATACTACATACTACATACTACATACTACATACTACATACTACATACTACATACTACATACTACATACTACATACTACATACTACATACTACATACTACATACTACATACTACATACTACATACTACATACTACATACTACATACTACATACTACATACTACATACTACATACTACATACTACATACTACATACTACATACTACATACTACATACTACATACTACATACTACATACTACATACTACATACTACATACTACATACTACATACTACATACTACATACTACATACTACATACTACATACTACATACTACATACTACATACTACATACTACATACTACATACTACATACTACATACTACATACTACATACTACATATATCTACTCCGCGTCTAGCTCTTACAATCCCAGATATTTTCTCTAAAATCGTATTATGAAATACGATAAATATCTAAAATACTGGAACCAGCATTATTTTGAATGTTATTCTTATGCACATTTATACATATTCATATTATGTATAAATTCATATTGTCTTTCTATTATCATCTATATTCTTATATCTATACATCTTTATTTATACCATTTCTAGCTCCAACGATTGGATGAAAGTTTAACGATTTTAATAATATAACAGATTCTGCATTGGTTTGGCAAAGTCTCTGGCTCATTAACTGTTTACAGGGTATCACAAGCGCTGTCAGTCATCCGTCATTATGAAATGCCAGTCACTTTGGCATTGCTTTTAAATATATTATGTTTAATTGTATTTATGCTATAATAACATTTTCATTTCCTGAACTACGCTTTCCCCCTCCCCCCCTCTGCTAACCTCTTGCCCCTGCTGCTCGGTTCATGTTTTGCTTGGCCGACCGAGCACACAAAAAATATTTTCTGCCATTTTTCCGCATTTTTGCGTATTATTTTCACTGGCATTTTTTTTTATTTATTTTTATTTTTTTTTTTGACAATTTCGCTGCCTCGTTTTCCCGTTTGCCATTGTTATGTTTTCTTTGTTTGCTTATTTATTTATGCAAGTGTGCGTGTGTGTGACATGTACGCATATAAAACATATGTAGATGCATCTTTTTTAACTTGTGTGTTCCAATTCGTTTGCCTTGAATTTTTTTATGCGGAAAAAGTGTTTATTCTCGTGAAGGAAGCACCAGTGAAAGTTGACTGTGGCCTTCTCCCACTCTCTCTCTCTCTCTCTCGCTCTCTCTTCCCTCTATCGCCTGTCTGCCTGCTCGTCATTATTTAATATTCAATATGCTTTGTCTAGTGAAATGTATAAATTATGCATATTAAATGCGAACCAGTCGAAAGAGACATGTGCCGTTATCTAGCCCATTTCCACCCTTACCCCCATTTCCACTTGCCACAGTGAAGAAGACGACATTGAAAAACACGCGTACGTGTTGTCCGGGCGCAAATAAATGCTGGTTAAGATACCTCCGCCCCTTACCATATCATATCATATGATATCACAGTAGTTTGTTTGTTTGTTTGCCACGCTGATTGACATAAAAAGAAATTTATTTTATTGAGATATTTTGTTAGTTTGATGAGCGGCACTTGGCGTTTTTACGAGGCGCCGCCAATTTATCGGTTAGCACAAAAAAAATTTGTTATTTATGCGCGCTTCTTATGGCGTCTACGTAAACAAAGTTATGATTCAAAACGAGCAAAAAACATGCCACTACGTAATCAGCAAGCAAAATTGAAAGAGAACTTAACTTAAAGCATGAAGAAACTTGTATTATTAATGTAAGAATTTCCAGCAAAACGTTTTCTATGAGCAGAAACCAAGAAAAGAGAACAGAGTGCTGGGATCGGGGCTTAAGCTAGTTTTGATATAAATAGAATGAGCATGGCTGAGCGTTGAGCTAACAAGCGTGAAGTCGCCGGTTCAAATATGTAATTTGTGAAATGCAGACAAAAGTACTTCCACTTGCAGTCACGCCATCTTATCAAGTTTAATGCCAACTATAATGAGCCTGTGTGGCTGAGCGTTGAGCTAACAAATGAGAAGTCGCCGGTTCAAATTCGTAATTTGTGAAATGCAGATAAAAATGACTTCTACCTAATGTCACGTCTCTTTATCAAGTTTAATAACAACTATAATCGAGCTAACAAGCGAGAAGTCGCCGGTTCAAATTCATAATTTGGAAAGTGCAGATGAAAATGACACTTGCCAACTTATCAACATTTCAGTAGATGCTAAGCAAAAACAAGACATGGAAAATTAAATTTAAATTTTGTTCTTGCTTGTCTTCCTATTAAAGATATAGGAGCGCCACGTGCGAGGCTCGGAGCAATTTATAACGATTTTGTGGCTTAAATGCTGTTGCAACACTTTTGCTTTCACTTTCAAGCCGAAAGCATACGCTTAGCTGCTTAGCTGTTTATCTATTTATCTCTTTGAGGACTCGGTGACCGCTCAGTTGCTTAGCTTTTTATGTTGTGTCAGACAAAACCCAGGCACCTAAACCTTTTAACAGCAAATGATTTATGAAGTACACAGCAGGACACACACACGCACACGAGAAGAAAAATGAAATGGATAACCCAAGCAAAACATGCAACGCAATTTGCTTTTATTGAAAAGGACACGAAAAGAAGGAAAGGCATTTTTTGAAGGAAGCAAAACATATGCACACGTATGATATGGAATAAGGCATAGAGCAGGCAAATCCAGTCCAGGCCAAAACAATGCGACATAGTGGCGATAACAAGCCCAATCATTATGGCCATGGCTATGACTATGACAATGCCGGGCCTGCCCTTAGAAGCTAACAAGAACATGAAAGAAAGAAGGCTATCCAAGGCACGTCGAGGCTTTAATACCCTTGTGGACATATATCTTACGGGTTTTCAGATATGAAGGGGGTTATTTCGGGTTTTAGTGAAGTTAGCTTGAAAAACATGAAGCAAATCCATATTTTCGATAGATTATTGTCATAGAGAAATATGATATAATGATATATTCATACTCATATGACTCGTAAAAGCAAAGCTTGGCTTAAATATCAATAAAAACGAAACAAATTGAGTTTTTCATACAAGGACCTGTTTCGTAGGACAGCAAGAATACATATTCTTTATGGAGGCGGGGCTGTCTTCGTCATCTGCTATAGAACTACAATTTAATTTTGAGGTTTTCAAGCAAGAGTCTCATATTCAACCGATCATTTGTATGGTTAGCTAAAATACATATACTTTATGGACTATGACAAAATTATAATACTCTTTCAAAGGGTATAGAAAGGAGCTACAGTTCGGAGGAGATTGTCGGCATCAGCATCAGTGCTCGCGTCTGCCGCAGCGCAGTCACGAAGAAGATGGTGGCCAAAAACACTTGAGCAACACTTGAGATGAAGTGTACGTGTGTGTGTGCGAGTGTGTGTGAGTGTGTGTGTGTGTGTGCGTCCTACTGGCCTGACACATATGCGAGTTGTCTGGGTGTGACATGATATGCGAGCACTTTGTAAAATGGGAAAAATGAAACACGCAGCAAAATGAAAAGCAAAGACGAGCGACAATGTTGGCCAGGATATGCAGGATTTACGCTTATCGTTGTGCCCACGCTTGTACAGCTGCCGCCACACAAACACACGCACACATACACGCACGCACACATATGCATATGAACTTAGCTAACAGAATAGAGTATACAGCGTTAAGCGACATTTTCTATTTACGCACACTCGCACGCACACGCAGGCTGGCCGTGGCCATTTTTATGGCAGCCGGGTGGCCCTGCATATCAGATGGCCAAAAGGAGTGCCATAAATCCATTATGCCATGATTTGTTATTCAATATTTTTGTAAGTAGATTAACTTGCAGCGCACATTTGTTTGCCGCCACCAAAGGCGTCGAAAGGATAATGCCACAGCGTGTGGCCAGACCGAAAAGACAGACTATCCGTGAATTAAGCTGTGTGGCCTAGGCTTGTCTTGTCTTGTCTTGTCTTGTGGCCGGCGGCGACCCCCCAAAACATAATTTACCAATATATTTATCATATTAGCGCCTAGTCGGCAAACAGCAGGCGACAGCAACTGGCAAGTGGCTAGCTGAAAACCCGCAACTTGAACTGTACCTCGGGCCGAGCTGAGTGACCACTTAAATCACCACAAAAATGGGCATTCGAATTGAATTTATGACACCCAAAAACAAAGTTGTTTATGCGCTATACACGCCCCGAAGGATGTGCTATTTATGATACACAGCCAACCCCTACTCCTGCCCCAGCCCCTGTCCCAGAACTCTGTTTCTTATGGTCAGCCGGCAATTTATGGGCACTTAAGTTAGCCTTGGCATAAACTTGACCAAGCTGAACTCGGACAAAGGGAATACGGCAAATCAAGTTGCAAATTTATTGATGGCAAAAAGAAACTAAGCAGTGATATATCTAAATATGTTTGTTGCGGCTGATCGAATGACTGACTGAATGACAGACACTTTAGTTAGACAGCTGACTTTTATGCTGTAGTTACCTTTGAGGCAATGAGGGATGTTCTCTCCACAGATACAACTTAATGTGGACAATTGGGTTTATCGCTCATATTGAAATGACTTTTTTTTGATAATTTCTAAAAGCGTCAGGTACAAAAGAAACAATAATCCCTGTGTGAAAATCGGATGAGATTAGCCCAAGCTATGGCGGTGGGATATTTTAACCCATTTCTATATACAAACTTAGGGGTAAGATTTGGACATGAATTTCGACTCAAAAATGTGTGGTCAGATTTAAATGCCAGATTATTTTAGAGGGAAAACCATGAACAAAAAGCCAAACCTCGTGAAAATCAGATGAGTTTTGGCTAAGTTATGGGGGTGGAAAATTTTGACCTATGTTTATATACAAACCTAGAAGTAAGATTTTGACATGAATTTCGACTCAAAAATGTGTGGTCAGATTTAAATGCCAGATTATTTTAGAGGGAAAACAATGAACAAAAAGCCATTCCTCGTGAAAATCGGTTGAGTTTTGGCCAAGTTATGGGGGTGGGAAATTTTGACCCATGGCTATATACAAACCTAGGGGTAAGATTTGGACATGAATTTCGACTCAAAAATGTGTGGTCAGATTTAAATGCCAGATTATTTTAGAGGGAAAACCATGAACAAAAAGCTATTCCTCATGAAAATCAGATGAGTTTTGGCTAAGTTATGGGGGTGGAAAATTTTTAACCCATGAAATCAGATGGTTTTGGCAGTTATGGTATTTTGTCATTCAAACCTAGAAGGGTAAGATTTTGACATGAATTTCGACTCAAAAATGTGTGGTCAGATTTAAATGCCAGATTATTTTAGAGGGAAAACCATGAACAAAAAGCTATTCCTCATGAAAATCAGATGAGTTTTGGCCAAGTTATGGGGTGGGAAATTTTGACCCATGTCTATATACAAACCTAGGGGTAAGATTTTGACATGAATTTCGACTCAAAAATGTGTGGTCAGATTTAAATGCCAGATTATTTTAGAGGGAAAACCATGAACAAAAAGCCAATGCTCGTGAAAATCGGTTGAGTTTTGACCGAGTTATGGGGGTGGGAAATGTTGACCCATGTCTATATACAAACCTAGAGGTAAGATTTTGACATGAATTTCGACTCAAAAATGTGTGGTCAGATTTAAATGCCAGATTATTTTAGAGGGAAAACCATGAACAAAAAGCTATTCCTCATGAAAATCAGATGAGTTTTGGCCAAGTTATGGGGTGGGAAATTTTGACCCATGTCTATATACAAACCTAGGGGTAAGATTTTGACATGAATTTCGACTCAAAAATGTGTGGTCAGATTTAAATGCCAGATTATTTTAGAGGGAAAACCATGGAACAAAAAGCCAATGCTCGTGAAAATCGGTTGAGTTTTGACCGAGTTATGGAGGTGGGAAATTTTACCCCCTGTCTATATACAAACCTAGGGGTAAGATTTTGACATGAATTTCGACTCAAAAATGTGTGGTCAGATTTAAATGCCAGATTATTTTAGAGGAAAACCATGAACAAAAAGCTAAACCTCTTGAAAATCGGTTGAGTTTTGGCCAAGTTATGGGGTGGGAAATTTTGACCCATGTCTATATACAAACCTAGGGGTAAGATTTTGACATGAATTTCGACTCAAAAATGTGTGGTCAGATTTAAATGCCAGATTATTTTAGAGGGAAAACCATGAACAAAAAGCTATTCCTCATGAAAATCAGATGAGTTTTGGCCAAGTTATGGGGGTGGGAAATTTTGACCCATGTCTATATACAAACCTAGGGGTAAGATTTTGACATGAATTTCGACTCAAAAATGTGTGGTCAGATTTAAATGCCAGATTATTTTAGAGGGAAAACCATGAACAAAAAGCTAATCCTCGTGAAAATCGGTTGAGTTTTGGCCAAGTTATGGGGGTGGGAAATTTTACCCTATGTCTATATACAAACCTAGGGGTAAGATTTTGACATGAATTTCGACTCAAAAATGTGTGGTCAGATTTAAATGCCAGATTATTTTAGAGGGAAAACCATGAACAAAAAGCTATTCCTCATGAAAATCAGATGAGTTTTGGCTAAGTTATGGGGGTGGAAAATTTTGACCTATGTCTATATACAAACCTAGAAGTAAGATTTTGACATGAATTTCGACTCAAAAATGTGTGGTCAGATTTAAATGCCAGATTATTTTAGAGGGAAAACCATGAACAAAAAGCCGAACTTTATGAAAGTCGGATGAGATTTGACCGAGTTATGGATGTGGGAAATTTCGACCTATGTCTGTATAGAATAGCGGGTATACCCCGCCCTTGCCCTTGGCACATTTAAAATAAATTCTCTCATCTCTGAAAATGACTTTTAAACTGATTGGATGGTAAAAAAAAAACTTTCATACGAATGTTTTTCACGATATTTCCACACATGCGGGTGGAATTACTCGAAACCCCGTCTGAACGCGCATTTTCATCACATAAGGTAACTACAGTGAAAATTTCAGCGTCCTAGCTCGGACAGTATGGGCTGTTCGGTGATCACCAATCATTCAGTCAATCAGTCAGTCAGGAGTTTTATATATAGAGATTCCATAAATAATTATTATAGAATATTAATTTTTTGCACTCACCTCAATGCGATTATCGTCCAGTTCGAGCTCAGACAGGCTCCACAGCTCGGCAAAGACCGTGTCGCCGATAAAATTGAGATTGTTGTGCGTCAACTTGAGTAGATTAAGATTGCCCAATCCCCTGAAGATTTCGCTGGTTAGCACATTGATCTGATTGTGGGCCAGGTTCAAGTAGGTCAGCCGTGCCATGTCCGCAAAGAGACCCTCGTGCAGGGTGCTGATGTTGTTGTTGTTGAGGAAGAGTCGCTCGCAAAGCGGCAGATTGCGGAACGCATAGCGATCCATCTCAAAGATCTGGTTTTGCTCGAGATTCAGTTCACGCAGACGAATGTGATTGGCGAAGGCATCCTGATCGAGGGCCATGATGTGATTGTTATTGAGGATGATGCGCTCCAGGAAGGGCAGATTGGCAAACGCATAGCTCTTGACGATCTCCACCTGCGAGTACTCGATGACAATGCTGCTCAAGTTCTTCAGCGGCTCAATGATCATGGTGGGTATGTAGTCCAGCCGGGCATTGTTCTGTATGACAAACTTGAGTTCGCGCAGCCGTTTCTGCTGGTAGAATCGTGTCCAGGTGGTGTCGTTCTGATGCAATCCCTCCGAGAACACCCAGCATTCGGCCTTCTGCACGGGCATATGGTTCTCGTCCGGCGTGCAATAGCACATGAGCTTCATGTCCCGACGGCGCATGCAGAAACCGGTGCTGTCTATGGGTCCGTTATAGCCAGTAGCGCCTGTCGAGGCGCCGTTGCTGCCGCCGTAGGCCGAGGAGCTGGTGTAGTAGCCGCCGCCGCCGCCATTGCTGTTGCTGGTCACGGCCGAGGCGGATGCGGAGGCGCCCGCATTGCTGCCGCGTCCACGGCTGCGGCGCTCCTCCTTGTCCCGCGAACGCGCCTCGCCGGGCGCCACGAGGCAGCTGCTCAGCAATAGAATGCCAAAGCCGAGAAGCGCCCCAATTTTATGGCGCTGATGATGCGGCAACATTGGAACGGCGCTGAAACGATACACAAAACCAGAATGACTCAGTCAATAAAATTTGTTTATTTGGCGCCAAGTGGGTTAGTCGGGGGATCGGGGACAGGTGGCCGGTGGCTTGAAGACATAAAATGAAAAGCGTAAACTCCACAATGTGAGTCGAATTGCTTGCCAGCTGCAAATTATTGAAAATTTGTAGCTGCCTGTGCCCCGGGCATAACGGGTATATACAGGGTTTAATGTCTTTTTTGTTTTACAGGTTGAAGGTAACAACTTTTTAATTCTGATCGGGAAAAGGAACCTAGTCGATCGAAATACTCGCTGTCGTATTCAGAGAAGGTTTAGTAATCTTTCCTTAAATCGAGAAATATTAATTTGTTGTTCATCTTAGCATATCTCAGAGACAATGAAGCCTGAATACACAAGATTTTCAACATAGGTCCTGCTTTGGACTATGTACACACCATATAACCATAAAAATGGGTGAAGGGTATTATGAGATTTGGCAAATGTATATTAGAGGAAGCATCTTTAAGTCCTGATGTGTAGAACGATCGAATATTCGCTGTCGTATTCAGAGAAGGTTTCGTCTTTTTTCCCAAGAAATATCAATTCCCTGTTTATCTTCAGCATATCTCAGGGAAACTGAATATACAATATATTATCTACTTAGGACCTTGTACACACCATGTTCCCCTTGAGTATAAAAGGTAAATAAAGGGCATTATGGGTTATTGGCTAATTTATATTAGGGGAAGGCTTCTTAAAATCCTGATGTGGATAGCGTACTCAGTCGATTGCACTCAAAGTTTACCTTTTCTCGGACAAATATCGCTTTCAATACTAGTTAAAGCCTTTCTCAGAGTTTATAGGAGCTGAGTTAATAAAATTTGGCTATTTTTAAAATCCTGATGTGGACAGCGAACTCAGTTGAAGTTTACTTCGACATATATCGATCTAAAGCTTTGGTTAAGCCTTTCTCAGAGTTTATAGGAGCTGCATACACAAAATGTAGCTACATAAACAGATAATAAAAGCTAAAGACAATTTTGAATTTGAACTCCCCCAGAGTACATGCAAATTCAGAATTAATTTGTTTAAGAAGCCTTCCCGCAATGCCTCCTAAATTTTCTTCTTTGCTTTATATACAGATTTGATATTCACCTAAGCTTCTCTTAAACTACACTTTGACCAGGAAAGAAAGTACAATTGAAAGCTGCCAATATAGTGTAACTACCAGTCGGGCACTCTCGACTATCGTACTCGCACTTGTTTTATGTGCTCGACCTGAAAACCTATTAAATAATGTTTGCTCTCTCGATATTATTTCGTTCATTGCAAACTCGAATTGCCAACATTAAATTTGATGCCACATTAAAAGCGTAAATTCTGGGTAAACACCTCGTCAACATTGAAACAGGGAAACGGAGGGGGGGGGGGGGGGGAATGGGTCGAGTGTTGGGTTACATTTATTATTCGACCGAAAAGCGATGCGATGTCTTTCAATATATATTGCCGCAAAAACCCCTTTGCCACAGTCCAGAGCCTGCTTAAAAGTTAAAGCGCTCCAACATAAAAAAAACTGCTAATTAATGTTGTTAACTTTTTACTTTTCGCTCATATTTCATTTCTGGCGCAGTACACATTTTCGCGGTAGCTCGCCCCCGATCTCTTTTTCGTTCCTTGATTTTCCCGCTTATTCAATGAATGCTGCCTGTGTGAAAAGTTCATGACATGGCCGTTTTTCCGTTACGCGTTGTTGTTGTTGTTGTTGTTGTTGTTGTTGTGCCTCCTGCTGGCTTTTTGCTGCCTTCATTTGACGCTCTGCTGGATTCAGGCCTGGCCCACCCAACCCCCACCCCTCCGCCGGGGGGACTACCCCCATAAACAAATTTATTGCGCTCATAAATAACTGCAACACTGTCGCTGATTGTGCGACTCACTGGCAACGGCTTCATCAAGTGATCCCCCCCTCAACCCCCTCCGTTACCCCCCCCCCCCCCCCCCCCCCCTCAGTCAATTGCATTTCAAGTGTCATTTGGCAAAGTGCTCTCTAATTATGCTCGTATTTTTAATAAATTAATAAGTCACATCTGACATTGGGCATATTTTTGGATGCAACCCCACCCGCTCTTAATTCCCCCCCCCCCCCCCCCCCCTCGCGCTGTGAGCCGGCATAATGAAGTGTAAATAAGTTATTGGCAGTTGTCAAGTGAGTCATCGTTATCGCCGCCAGTTCAGGCAGCCAGTTTTTCGCCAGTGATTTGCATAAAATATTATCTTCCAAATCACAGAGGGGTCACAGAAAAAGGGGGCGGGGCGGGGGCGTGGCTAAAAGCTGAAAGTCATTTGAGTGATTGACTTTGGCATGCTTCATTACATTGATTATCGTTATAAATTTTAAATAAAACGATGATAAGTGTTTCGATTGTTCGTTGCGCCGCTTAAGTTGGCTTAGCAAATGTCATATCCTGTCCCATGGCCTGGGCCAAAGTTCAAGGTTCAGGCGTGGCTTATGGCACAGGATTAACAGCTCAAAACAGTCCGCAGCCTCAGTTCGTAGCAACAGCAGCAGAAGCTCTGCCAAAGCACTTGATGACTTTAATTTAAATATCAAAGCAAAGTCAAAACTAAATTGTCGTACACACACACACACAGCTACACACACACAGCCACAGGAGCCGCAGCTGTGAAATGTTCTGGGAATTTGTGAGGTGAGACACTTTTGAGTTATACGTTTGCACATCCTTGACAATTTTTTCATAGTCCTTGTGAGAGGGTATCATAACTTTGTCATGAGAGAAGGAACATATGTATATATTCTTGATCAGCATGAACAGGCGAGAATAATATAGCCTTGTCTATCTGCTTGCTAATGCTATTTGTTCTCTAAGTTTTAAGACTCTCGTTATAAAACTTTGTATAGATTCGACTTTCTGTTGCAGGCAGTAAGAGTAGCTAATTATTTAATACATAATTATATGAAAATTAAATGCTAAAAGCCTCGGTTAGAATAAACATATTTCTAATAACATCACCGAAACGATGGAGATGTTTTATTGCCCTTACTCATAGCTGGGAATAGTCAGTGAATTCCCAAATGTATCCCGAAAGCAACGATTTTATTGGGGGCAGAGAGAGTTCGGTGGTGAAAACGTGATACAAACTATTGTAATCTTTGCATAGTACACAAAAAGAATTGTACATAGCGTAATCTGTTGGAAGGAAGAGAAAAAAAGGAATAATCGCTTGAAAATGCATAAACATTTCCTTTTCCCGCTTAATCTTAACAACAAGGAACTACTTTATCATATAGTTCCATAGACAAAAAGGTTTTTGAATGGAGAAATGCTGCAAAAAAGAGCTTCATAATTTTTCTAACAAATTTGCAGCCAAGCGTCTGCAGGGTATTTAATCTTCGGCGAGCCAAGGTTAGCCGTGTTTTCTTTAAAGTGTGTGTGCGGATATATCAAGTCTCTGTGTGTAATTAGATTTTCAAGCGAGTGAATTTAAGGCACACACACACGTACACACACACTCAAAGCAATCCATGTATATTCATGCTGACAGCCACAGCCAATTACTCAAAGCAGGGAAAACGCAAAAAGAGCAAGGGGCGAAGAGGGGAGGGGAGGGGTACGTGTCCCCGCCCCCTGAACAGTTGCAAGCAAATGAAAAATCAATTTGTTGTTTATGCATAAATCATAAGATTTATGCGACTTCTCACAGTATTCATAAGTCATTTATCAACACGCAAAAAGTTTTCTGTGTCACAACAAACCCGACAACAACAAAAAAAGACACACGGAATTCGGATACGCTTTAAGCATAATAAATAGCTTTTCGTTGCGGCACACTTAAAACTTAAGTGAAAGTCAAGCAAATCAAATTTTGCAGCCAAAAGAATTTACTACAAGCATTGCAAAACAGATATAAATGTATATAAATTTGAATCTAACTTGAGCTCAACTATGACAATACGAACAACCTGGATGATGAGCAGCAGGCGAAAATTTAGGAAACCGGTAAGTGGGCTCGACTAGCAGATACCCTGTACGGATTAGTAGTCATACTATATATGCCAATTGTCTTCTTTATCGATATAGAGCGGCTGTGCCACAGACTTTAGATTATTTATTCCTAAATAACTTCTGTATTTATTGTCTAATCATGATAAAGTTTTTGGCACCTGACTAAAATATTTAAATATGTTTATAAGTATACCAAATATTTTAAATTTTGACAGTGATAAAGGGGTTAAACGAGTTGCAGAATACACGGCGAACTCTATTATCGAAATAGTTCGGATACTTTACTTTAAATAATACCCTATATACTTTCACATATTAATAATAAATATATAATAAATTTCTTCAGAGAAATGGGCTTAAATGAGTTGCAGAGTTCTAAGAGCTCCGAAATAAATAAATAGAATAAATACATGGCGAATCTTGTTAAGGAAAAGGTCGCTAGTTCAATTCCTTCCCTCATTTGGCATCAGTTATCACTAAATCTTATACAACTTTACTTTAAATAATACCCCAAGTGCCCTTATCTTTCTCCTAAACCTTCTGAAAACTGTTACGAACCGGCCTTATAAAGTCGAGCATACCTGCTTTCGGTACAACTGCAACAAATTCGCTTTTAACCCATTTTCAAAGGATACACGTTAAAATCATGCGGAAGGCATGAAAGCAAAAGCAAAAGCAACGTGGGCCAAATTGCAACAAGAAGCCATTTGTCTTGTTGTTTATAATTTCGATTAAACTTTCAATGTGCGAGGAGCGCACACACACACACACACAGGCACACACACACAGAGGGAGGCACAGGCATATGCTTAAAGTGTGTGCGTAAACAATAAAGGTTGGGGGTTGGGTTGGAGCGAGAACCCTGGTGAAGTGTGAAGATAGAACTTGTTGACGTCGACCCACTAGGAAATTGGAGCAGAAGCCTCAGCTAAGCTGTCGGAGCTCAGCTCCCCCCGGCGGCGGCCAAAGGGAGAGCCGGCGTTGCACATAAATTGTTGCCAATGCTTGAATGCAAAATTTCTTGGCTTTAACTCGGGCAATTCTTTGCACTCCGGAGAGGCAAGGCACAGACGACGAAGAGGCAAGAAAAGTTTGCTTATCAGGCCGCATCGAATATACACATAACAGCTTGAGGGGGGAGGAAAGAGAGTGCCTTGTGTGAGTGAGTGTGAAATGAAGCTGTGCCAAGGAGCTGCTGCTGCTGATGAAGACAATGGCAACCAGAGCCAGGCGAAAATCTGATCTCGTTGCTCTCATGGCAGCGACTGCTGCTGCGACTGCGACTGCTTCTGTTGTCAGCGTGTGGAAATTGTTTTCAATTTTCGTTATTTGACAAATGGTGACACTTCCGCTGTGGAGCAGGACCTTAACAATATGTCTGCCAGCTGCGTGGCTATGTGTGTGCCATGAGGTTTTGTCAACAATAAGTTTATACGTCAGACGAGGACGAGTCGTTGTTGTTTATGACATGGCCCCTGCGCGTGCCCCTCTGCTCATCATCGTCGTCGTCATCATCGTCGTCGTCATCATCATTGCTCGTCAGTGCGCACATTATGAGGAGGGACATCCTGGCCAGCTGCCCGCATGGCATGTGAATAACTTTAAGCTGTGACATCGCACACATGTCCTGGCCCTGTGCCTGGCTGCAGGACGTGCTTGACTTTGACTGAATGCTCGCAGACGACGACGGACTGGTCGCTGACAAGTCAGTCGACTCTCCGGTGGTCTCTAGTTTATTTGGCCGCAAATAAAATGGGACAAACGAGCGGACGAGCGGACGAACGGACGAGTTGGCGGCATTCCATAACCAAAGCGCAGTCATGTCTCGATCCGCAGTCCGGCTCTCTGACAAATGGCCGGACTAAAGTGCCCTACAAATCGGGCTCCATCAATCAAGCCGGTTATGACATTCGCACGTAACTCTCTCACTTTGTGCCTTTTATTTATATTATTTTTATTGAAATGTTACAATGTTGATGTTGATTTGTTTAGTTGCGTCTTCAACTTGATTTGCTTGCTTCACTCAAAATGGAACACATTTTGCAAGCTCAGAATTCGAATTGGAGCAAAATAACTTTACGGCTACAAGAAAAGGCTGAAAGTTTCTCCAGCAGATAGTAAGAGGAACTAGATATATCTGAGCGAGAAATCGGTTCTAATTGGATAATAATTAATGCCAATAAAGCCTTATAAAAGAAGCGAGCAAATATGGCAACCCTCTAATAAGATTGAAGATCGAAGATAAAAACAGGATCAATTAGCATCCATACAAGAAGCCACTTTTCGACCGATCGTTCCTAAGCTAACTATAAGATATAGTAGCCAGATGTTAATAAGATTTGGTATATATATATGAGGAGCATAGTGAGACTAATAAATGCCGAGTTTGATCAAGATATCTTCATAAAGAAAAAAGTTTTTCTTATAACCTATTTTTCCTATGACAGCTATATGATATTGTTGTCCGATCTGTTACGACATATGCACTGCCTGAAACTGAAAGACGAACATTTGCAAAGTATTTTAAGATGATCGCCTTAAAACTGAGAGACCAGTTCGCATAGAAGCACACAGAGGCACATGGCTATATCAACTCGGGGCCGAAGATGACTCCTTCCATGCGTTATGCATGTCATGACAAAAGTATAATACACTCTAAAATATTATATGTATATTATTATCGTTTTTATGGGCTATTAAAAGCGTTGCTTAACGCGAATCTGACTATGTTTTTTACTTAAGTAGAACAAGTATTTAGAAAGTTAAAGACAGAAAAGAGAACCTGTAATTAGATCGTGCAACTCACTGTCTATAAGACTATCTTCACTGCGCTTTTACAAGGTAGAAAAGTCAGTGGTTCGAACCCCCACCAATGTTCGGGAAGCTCGATAACCTATAAAACATAACTAACCTAAATGTCAGCTGTGCACTTTAATGATAAAAATAATCAATAAGAATTGTTTAAAGTGCCCGACGGGATACCTTGATACCTTGTAGCTAGGTTCTCTTTGGCTTTTGAGTTTCGAAGTTCGAACCCCCAACTATAGTGATAAAAGTGGACTTAAATTCCAGTCATTGGTTCAAATAATAAACAAGGTCAATATTAATTACTTCCAGGATCTAGGCCATGTTAGGCGTTAAAACTTCGAAGTTCGAACCGCCGACTGTGTTCAGGCATGTGTTTAACCTAGTAAACGCAACGAACCTTAGCCCTTGCCAGAACTAATAAGAATCATTTTAACAGCCATAATAGGAACCTGAATGCGTGCCATTTCTCTTAGACGGAATACCCCTACTCGTAGTGGGAGGGCGTCCTAATAAGCTGTGAATAGCGAAGAAACTTTTAGTTGGCCATTTCTTTTTTTGTTTATTGTCAGCAATGTGGCACTCTATAAATATATTTCATAAATAGCTTGTCATTTACATGTGACGTTCGCGCCAAGTTGCGACTGTCATTTGTGAAAACCCTTTTTTCTGACTGTGCGTTATTATCATGCGAGGAAGTCATTGCCAGCTGGGCGACAGCAAATCACACATACTACCCTATATATATACACACATATATATATATGTATATATATATATATATATATATATATATGTACATACCCTATTTCCCTATAGGAGCTGAGCTATGCCAAATCTGCACACACTGTGCGAGTGTCTGTTGCTGTTGCTTTTTCTTCTCTGCGCACTTTTAGACTACTTTTCAGTTGCTCCCCCCCCCCCCCCCTCCCACCCCTCACCCCCTCCACTTCTCCCCACTTCTTTTTTTTGGCTTTTAGCATACCTGTCAGCAAAATAAAATGAAAAGTAGTTTCCAGTGCAAACTTTCGCTCATCGTCGCCAGCCGCCATATTGTTGACACATATTTTCCTAGCCAAGTTATATGCAAACGCCTGCCACGCCCATAACCCCCGCCCCCCGCATTGCACTTGAGCGAAGCCCAACCCGGCCCATTACTTTCGGCTGTCATTTTTTCACTTAGATTCCGTAGCTTGGCTTTTATTTGCCTTTTTGCTGGTTTTCCTCTCAAGTGTCGAGCTTTAACTTTTGATGCACAATTTGTTTGCTCCACTCAGTCCTAGTACTCCCTACCCCCCCCCCCCCCTCCCACCACCACACCCCTCTCCCTCGCTCAACTGCATTCTGTTTAAGCCTGGGCAACTGTTTAATGCTAAAATTGGCAGCACCTGGGCAAAGTGTTAGCGGCTGGCTCAACTGTCCCGACAGATAAGTACTCCTTGACTTGGCTCTTGCTCTTAGTTGCTTTATTTGCATACCCTGCGCTCATTGAAAAATTTCTATCAGAAGGGGTATAATGGCAGGAAGGCAGCTACTTTTCCCTCTGCTCCTCAGTCCGGGTAAGGATCACGAAGAACAAAAGAGCTAAGGATATGTACATTTGTATATGGGCTCTCACAAATATCTCAATCTATCTCTCTATCGATGACATCTCTCCTTTGCCCAAAGTCGATAAATATCGATATTCAGTTAAGACATAAACTAAGCTGGAGACTTAAAATTTGTTATACATGTTCTCATATATCATAAAAATAACGACATGATCCTTCTTTTTTTTATAACTCTGCCCATTTGTATATTATTGATAAATATCGATTGTGAAAAAAGAGTTTTTAGGCAACGCTCTATTCTTCTTAAGAACTATAGAAGTATTTACGAATGGTTTTCATGTCCTTTCGATAAATATCGATTTCCAGCTCAGAAACTACTTAGGCTGAATATTTGATACTTTTGATATATATATTTTCATATATCATGCGAAGAACAAGTTTATCTTTGTTTTCCTATATCTTGACCCATTTTCATATTATCGATAAATATTGATTTTGAAAAAAGAGTTTTGTAGCATTGCTCGAAGCGTTTAAGAGCTGGAGATTCAAGGAAGTAATTACGAATGTTTTTCATGGCCAAACTAGGCCTAGATACAGGGTATCTCCATGTCGGACACTGTCGACTGGAGCGCTGCTACTTGTTGTCTTTTTTGTTAGCCATTTTGTTGTTTGGCCAAGACGCCTTCACCTTTTTGCCTGTTGACGTTCAGCGAGAGATAGAGAGAGAGAGGGAAAGAGGCGGAGAGGTAGGTTGAGCGAAAATTATTATTTTCGCCGTTGACTGCAAGTTTGTTGCAACTTTCTGACGCAAAGTGAAAATTTGTCATGCTCGTTGAGCAGCTTTGCTAAGTGTGTGTCTCGCTCGATGCCGCTGCTGCTGCTGCTGCTGTTGCCTGATATAATAAATTCCCTCAGTTTAGCAGAAATGCTCACGAAGACAAACATAAGCCCGAAAATACAAACACAAACATAAATACAGACCGATGAGCCGGGGAGGATTTCTTGTCGAAAATGAGTCGTCGTCGTCGTCTGGGACAAAACTTTTAACTCAACTGTCAAATATTTTAACAATTTTGCATAAAACATTATGAAGATGCCAAATCGTGGGCGCTATCTCTTTCTCTATTTCTATATGGCCAACTGTCTGTCAGTCTGTCTGTCTCTCTGAGCTGTTGATTCTGAAAGTGAATTTGAAATGCGCTTTGCGCTGCTTAAGCTCCATCTCTTTCCCCCACTCATTCCCCTCTCTCTCACTTTTTCTTACTTTCTCTATATCTATTCCGGCCCACTCGTCACTTAATTAGCTAAGTTCTGAGCTCTCTCTAGGTTGAGCTTAAGCTTCAAGTTTTCTGATTTGTGCATCAAATTTGATGCCCACACAAGGACATACACACATACACATACACACATACACATACATACACACACCTATACACACACATGCATAAGTAATTCTACCTCTAACTGACTCACCTTTTGATGAAGTGTATAAAAAGGGCCGCGTCACGTGCGGGCCTCTGAAGAACTGAAGAGTTTTCTGCTGACTAATGCGCTGCTCTGAAAGAGAAATAGAGAAGGAAAAAAGAAGGGATACATGAATTAATGTGATAAATTCAGCAGTACTTTCACTTAATACATTTATTAGACCAACTTGAGGCCCACGCACATAATAACCATAAGGAGCGACTGCACTACTAGGGAGTGCTAGACTAAGAAATACCCTAAAACTTATGCCAAGTTGCCATTACAATGCGTCTAGCTTCCTTATAGACACAAAATGCTCTATATGAAATACAAAAGGCCAATCCTCGTGAAAATCGGTTGCGTTTTGGCTGAGTTATGGAGTTGGGAAATTTTTACCCATGTCTATATACGAATCCTAGGGGTTGGATTCTGACATGAATTTCGACTCAAAATCGTGTGGTCATATTTAAACGCCAGATTTTAGAGGGAAAATCATGAATAAAAAGCCAATCCTCGTGAAAATCGGTTGAGTTTTGGCCAATATATGGGGGTGGGAAATTTTGACCCATGGCTATATACAAACCTAGGGGTAAGATTTAGACATGAATTTCGACTCAAAAATGTGTGGTCAGATTTAAATGCCAGATTATTTTAGAGGGAAAACCATGAATAAAAAGCCAAACTTCGTGAAAATCGGTTGAGTTTTGACCGAGATATGGAGGTGGGAAATTTTGACCTAGTATGTCTATATAGGAGGGAACCATTTTCATATGAAGTTTGATCAAGATTCCACCTCATTAAAACAAGATATCGATTCTTCTGAGATGACAAAAAGATAAATAAAACCTATCTATAAATGTGCTTTGAATATGGTAAACCTTTTTCTATAGCGCCCCGTAAAAAGTCTACAATAATTAACCATATTTGTTTGGTTCGTCGAAAAACTACTTTAATCTCACATCTCATTTGGTTCGTAATAATATTATTAGCGGCGCTGTCAGATGTGGCGGGTTTTTGGGGCCCAACCCGAGGTAAGTTGTGGCTGGAAGTATGCGCACCGCAAATCTAATTGCGTTAATTTCCAGATAATTGTAGCGCCGTCAGAACGGGGGCCCCCGGACATGCGACTACGTAAAACTATTAACACGCAGCAGTAGGCACACATGTGCTTAGGTTTCATGGACGTGGGCGTGGTCGCATTGCGCGTTATTCAAATTGTTTTTTTTTGTTTTTTTGTTGCCACGCGCGGGGCACATAATTTTCTGCGTGTCCATTGTCCATACGGGCAAACCACAATTCCGGCCACGATGACGAACAGTTGAGGCGATTCCCCAGCCTGAGCTTAAATGTCACGGTTCAGACACACACACACACACACAGACACATGAGGGACTTCGTTCTATTGTTGTGTTTGGGGCATTAAATGAAATAATTGCATTTGCTGCGCCTACAAAAAAGGCAAAGTACACACACACACACACATTACTCCCACAATTGCTGAGCAACTGCCTCACATCCATTTAGAAGTGGTTCCACTTTTATTGGAATCAGCGGGGTTAAAGCTCCAAATTTACGCACTCAGAGAAAATTTGGGGTCAAGTACAAATGTAAAAATGAATAAAAGAAAATTTGATTGATTTGAACCAGCAACTTCACGCTAGATAGTTCGACGCATAGTCACCTAAGGCACACTTGAAAAGCTTTACACACTCAGATAATTATTTGGGGTCAAGCACAAATGTAAAAATGAATAAAAGATAATTTGATTGATTTGAACCAGCAACTTCACGCTCGTTAGTCCGACGCTTAGTTACCTAAGGCACACTTGAAAGGCTGTAGTGAATTCTAAACAAACTTTTACAACCGTTTTCTTCCTTTGCATTTCAAATATTCCAATGAAAAATATATTACTATTTAATTTATAATAATATATAATTTATAGAAATCAGAACGACATTTCTTTGAGTGTATCTGGCTGTAATGTTTTTTTTTTCTCCCTTCTTATTGTAATTGAAGCTCCAATTTCAAGCACAAATGTAAAAATTAATAAAAAAAAAAGTTGATTGATTTGAACCAGCGACTTCACCCTAGATAGTTCGACGCTTAGTCACTTAAAGCACAACTTATAAGGCTGTTCTATTTTTTTTTTCATTTTGGGGTCAAATATTTCAATTAAAAATTTATTAAAATCGAATAGGAATCCGCACGACATTTCTCTGAGTGTATCTGGCGGTAATGTAGTTTTTTTTCTGCCCGTCTACAATTATCATCGTTGCCTATCGGCAACATCGCTGACTATTTTCCGTGGCTACTTTTTTACCCGCTGCTGATAATTATGCCCGCATTATTTGTATAAAGCAGCTCAGACTTTAGACGGAGCTGGAATTTAATAACCTTTACGCTCCTATTGATATTGGCGAATGCACTGGGGAGTGGGCGACTTGTATAATAGTTGTTTAGTCGGTCATATCGCGGCAAACGAATCTCACTGATTGCTTTGAATATCCACAAAAAGGCGAATGTCAAACAAGTTCAACGAGTGTCGGCTGCCATGGGCAACCGACACAATGGAACCAAAGCTCAAATCCATGACAATTTGCTATCAACTGGGCATGCACATATCGCATATACAAACAAGAGGGTCCTGGTGGAGAATGCCCGACTGAAAGATCCTAATTCGAGCTAACAAATCTTAGACTATACTAGACTTTAACTCGATACTTTTAATATTTTTCGAGAGTTGGTGGAAGTTTTCATATATTAGATGGATACAGTTCTTTGGTCTGTTAATAATAGATAGAATAGACGGAACAGACCATTAAAGCTGGCTTGGAGATGCCATTTGTTTCTCTTTGGACTATCAGCTACCCTGTAATCATCTTCGCAACAGATCTATTCATACAGAATAGAAGCGAGGTATTCAGAAAGAGCTATTTTCTTGATATGTATATACTTTAATAGTAAATGCTGCAAACCTAGACACAAACTTTATATTTATAGATAAACAAAATGTTAAAGAAAGAAAGATAGAATGAAGAACAAATCAAGAGCAAGCCCAGACTCGAAACTATAAATTGATCGCTATATAAAATGTTAAAGATAGAAAGATAGAATCGAGAACAAACGGATATATATACAATTGATAAAGTGGAAGTGACCTTCAACTGCCCGTGACCTACATTTGCTCAACTGCAATATGCCCTATCTTATAGTGTATATATCCCATCTCCCCTTGAAGTAATCTCAAGTATTGCTGCGTTGTCAAACTGTCGCATTTCATAGCTAACCCAGACCCAAGAGGTTTAATCTCTTATTTGCAAGTGAATAAAGAACAGAACACTTGGCTGAAGAAGTTCACGGAAATTTGCAGCAAAATGTTTCCATTTCATGTGGGGCAATAAAAATTTAATATAATTACGCACAATTTCCAGCTGAAGTTTATGGGAGGCACACACACAAACACACACACACATAAAAAGATACACTTATGCATTGCCAGGAGCAGGACGCGCTGTGACTTTTGACAGCGCTGAGTCCTTTCTTCCCGCTTCTCACTTTCCAGCGGGTTTATGAGTCGCCGCCAAGACAAACATAAACACTTGTGAGGACAGTTCAAGGGTACAGGGCGAACAGAGGGGGCAGGGGGGGAGGTAGTGGGCGGGGGGTTGCAGCTGATTTCATAAAGTGTAACAAGCCAAAGCTTTGAGCTCAACTGCTGCGACAAATAAGCGACAGAGCAGGAGCAAGTCGACAATAAAGCGTTGCGGAAAAGTTTACAAGTTGCCAGAGGGGCGAGCAGGGGCAGGGGCAGGGGGGATTGCCCAGGAAAGAAGCGAACGTGGGGCTAGCATTGGATGTAGCCAAGTGTTGTGGCTGCTCACACACACACACACACACAGGATACGGAGCACAGAACACCGCGCATTGCCTGCGAGTTAAATATTTGCGATACCCTGTGACCATTGTAAATTGATCCTAAAAAGGGTATCTTGCAGCTGTGCAAGTGTAGGTAACAGGCCAAAAAGTTCCAGCAAGCATTTACATACATATACTTGATCCGGTTAAGAGACAAGTCGAACAATCATCTACCCTGTGCATCGATCAGCTGGAGGAGCCAAAAGTCGTTATCTGTCAAACATGAAAATTACAGGATATCTGCTAGTCGAGCACTCTCACTCACTTAACGGACAAGTCGCTGCGTCTTCTTCCCTGTGCATCGATCAGCTGGCGGAGCCTTGAGTCGGCAACAGGCAGACATTTGTCTAACATGACGTTTGAAGGGTATCTGCTAGTCGAGCCAGCTGCAGCGCTCGCAGTTGTTTCTGTTGCGCTTGTTTACATTGAGGCCCCCAAAGCAAAGTCGACAGCAGAAGCTGAAGCAAAGGCAGAAGCAGAAGATGTCGCCCAGGACGTGCATTTTCCACATTTGCCCGCAGCAAGTTGTTATTTCTTAATATTGAGTGCTGCTGCAGATGCTCTGCCGGCAGCGGCAGCGGCAGCGACAGCGGCAGCGGGCGGGGCATATGTCAGGCGACTTAACCTTTGACAGGCCCGGCTCGGCTCCAGTTCGCGGCAACAGGCACTTGGCCATAAATTGAGTGGCGTTTGTCTGCGGCCAATGTAATCAGATCATTTTGTACGCTTCGGCAGGTACGCGAAAACTTTTATTTGATTGGAAATGAGAAAAATCTTTGAGAAAACGTACCTCGCAAATGCGCGCAGCGAAAACTTTGCCGCGACCCAGCTTCGATTAGGCATAGAACCTGTTGCCAATTTGTTTATCAGCTGACGTACGGTCCAGTTTAACAACTCACGGCTATTTCTTCTTAATTCGATCATAATTAAATATCACTTTTAACTATTGTTTAACTTTAATAACTATTTCGCAATAAGAAAGAGCGAAAATTGTTTCAGTGTGCGTGTGCAGCGGCTTAGTGAAAATCCCGAATAATTTGGCGACTCTCGTTTTTGCCCAACTTCTTTTATCAATATACAGCCACACTCAGTTTTTTTTCGCATCGGGAAGTGACGTGCAACAAGTAAATATGTAAATAATTAATAATAAGTGTCAATAAATAAACAATGTGCATAAAAAATAAGCCCGGGCTATTATAACACATAGTATCCACATTTTGGTTGGTTTATCGGTAAGTTTAATTTAATAATTTATGCTTTTTTCACCAATTGAAAATTTTTTCTTATTTTTGGCGGCAGAATTTCGCCAAGGCTTAGCGTTTCGCGTTGCCAATTGAATATTTAAAACTTAATACATTCCCTTTTGAGTATAATAATTGTGCTGGCTACTCTAATTGTCTAACATCTTTTATCTATTTGCAGCCACACAGTGTGTTTTTTTTTCCGTGAAGCTAATTGGAAGGGGAAGTGCGTGAAAAAATAAAATAAAGTAAATATATATATGTAGTGCATCGGAAATCATCAGAAAAGTGCAACAAGAAGTAGCTAATTCAACCAACGTCCATTTTTTTGTATATCAGTGAAATTAATCTATGTGTATTTGCTTATTTCATAAGCTGCAAATTTGCCGGCTGGAAAATTACGCAACATCGCGTTCTTCTTCTACTTTCTTTTTTTTCTGTGTAATTGGAAGTGCGTGAAAAAAAATTAAATCTATATAATTATATATAGTCCATTGCAAATGATCAGATAAGTGCTTTTTTTTTAGTGAAAATCTATATTATTATATATAGTTAATTGCAAATGATCAGATAAGTGCAACAAGTGCGTGAAAGAATTCAACCGCATCCATGTTTTTTTTTGTGTATCGGTGTGTTTTTATCTATGTATATGTGCTTGCTCCACGTATATGTATGTATGTATATGCGCAACAATACGTTCTTCCTCTTTCTTCTTCGTTTACTTACAGCCCCGCGGTGTTTTTTTTTTCAGTGAATCTAATTGGAAAGTGAAGTGCGTAAAAAAATAAAATGAAATCTATATTTATATATAGTCCATTGCAAATCATAAGATAAGTGCTTTTTTTTGCAAATCTAATTGGGAAGTGAAGTGCGTAATGTGTTGCAAATCATCAGATAAATGCAACAAGTGTAGCCACACAGTGATTTTTTTTCAGTGAATCTTATTGGAAGTGCCTGAAAGAAATAGCCAATTCAACCAACAACAATGTTTTTTATTGCGGTAAGTTTTGTTTAATAATATATGCTTATTTCACAATTACTTTTTTGTTGTTGTTTTATAACCCGACTAACTTAATTGCTTTTCATCTTTTATTTCTTTACAGCCCCACTTAGTGTATTTTTTTTATGTGAATCTAATTGGAAATTAATAGTGCAAAAAGTGCGTGAAAAATAAAATGATGGCAAAATAATATTTGCCAAGTGCATCAAAAATCAGCAACATTTCGATCTCAACAGAACATCCATTTTACGCTGTATATTTCGGTAAGTTTTCTATTAAAATATTAGCCCATATTAAAAAGTGCAAGTCACTTTTGTTTATGCTATAAATTCGCTATGGGCAAACATATCGATGTGACCATTCTTTGCGATCAGTAAAATATCGATATTTAATACCCAAAATACCAAGGATGTAAACTAACAGCGGCGATGAAGGTGGTTATCGTTTTCTCCTCTACTCTCTCTTTTTCACCTTTTCGGGCTGCGCTTGCCAAACGTGTTAATTGGCGTTAATGTAATTATGTAATAAAGTTGCGTTAATGGTCGGGGTGCAGCTGCGGCAGTTGGCCTATTTCCTGCTGGAAAACGGGCGACTGCCGCTAATATTAATTAGCCAGCAACAGCAGCAGCAGCAGCAACAACAGCGCGCTGGTCAAATTTTTGTTTACATTTTCGGCGCTTTAATTTTCTTGTGTCGTCAGCTGGCTATTAAAAGCGCTATGCTAAATGGCCATAACAACTTCCGTGTGACACACACCTACCGCTAAAAGTATATATGTATGTATATATGTATGTATGTGTGTTTGTGGTTTTTCCTAGCCCCGCCCAGTCGGGCTCTCGTTTTCAACAATAAACAGCAGCATAAAAGCCATGAAACTGATTTTTCACGCCATTTTCGTTTACATTTTGTTGTTGCTTTTCGCTGTTGCTGTTGTTGTTGTTGTTTTAACAGTTTTTGTTCTTGTTTGCTTTCGCCTTGGCACTGGCCGGCGCAGACCAAGCAGTGTTACCAGCTGGCGCTAAAAAAAGCTAAATTAAATGTTAAAAATATCTAAAAATATCAATTGGCAATAAACAGGTTAGCTGGTACTTTTCAAGGAAATGCCACAAAAAGGCTAAATCATACTACCGTTGACAATAGCTAAAAATAGCCAAACTGACAACACTGCTGCCAACGCATATGTAATTAAAATATATTATTTTTGCCGAACAAAACAACTGCGGAAAAAAAAGGAACTAAAAAAGCAGAAGCACAAAAAACGCTGCCTTGTGTATTTATAACGAAAGTTTGTGGGTGTGTGGATGTTACGGTTATGTTGATGTGGCCTGGCAGGAGGAGAGGGGGGGGGGGTAGGGCTGGGGTAGCGTGTGCTAGCGCAATGATGTTCATAATGATGGCCACTCTGCACGCACCTGCCGCAGATTCTGGCACAATCTGGCAACTCCCGTGTGTCCTTCACCTTTATTTCTGCTGCTGTTGTTGTTTCTTTCTGTTTTATCTCGGTCTGGTTTTTGCTTTCTGCACATTTGTTACGCATCATAAATGAAAATGCTCATATAAATATTTCATATTTTAACACAGAGAAATCCACCCACACACACACACACTCACTCGCAATGACAACAAGTCGCAGTAGCCGACGCGCCGCCACGCCCATCAGAAACATTTCACTTTTCAGTCTGAAAATTTCCGCCCATTAAATTGACATACGCGTATTCGCATTCGCATTCATTTCCTCTTTCCGTTTTTGCCTGCTTTTATGTGATGTTCCGAATGGGAAGGGTATATCAATTTTGTTACTCATTATGTAACGCCTTGAAGAAAGTAGCTTTGTGGACATTTATGGTAATATAATAAAACAATATAATAGTTAATTAAAATAATAAATTAATAAAATAATATTAAAAAAATTATAATATAATACAATTATAATATAATACACCTTTGTATTTCTCTCTGTCTGTCGCTTTCTCTGTGAGCAGGACTTTGTTCCAGGGTATTTATAGACTAGAATCTTTACTACTTTTGACTAGTATACCATATAGATCCTAAATCCTAGACGTTCTCAAGGCAACAATCTGTCTTAGTTTATTTATGTAGACATATATTTTGCATCTGCTTCATATAGTATATCTTATGTAGGGCATTTCAACTGCGTCGTTGCCTGTCTAACGGTTTTCTCTTGTTTTCTTCTTTATGGCTCGCCCCTTCGCCTGTTTGCACAAGTTTTGTAATATTTCGGGTTTATGTTTACAGTTGGCAAACGCATTAAAATCACAGATTTACATTTTTTTTCCTTTATTTGTCTCCCTCTCTCTCTCTCTCTCTCTCCTCCTTGCTCACGGCCTGCTGAATTATTTAGTGTTGTCGCCGGCGCCCCACCCTGCCCCGCCCCCGCTCCGCCCCTCTGCACTTTGTCCCGGCAAAGTATTCGGATTATTGAATTTGAATTTGTAGCGAGTCTGGCGACAGGCATCGAGGCTTATTGTTTCAAATGTTTTCCTCGCAATCTCGAGAATGTAAACTGTTGATAGCCTCTACACACACACACACACACGCACGCACACACATTTAAGGGCTTAGGCTGAGCATGGAAATTATTTTTTAATAAACACAAAGCACTCACAAAGGGGCACATCAACGCATCCGCATTCGCCTGGACTCTTGCAGAAGGGAAGATGTGAAGGGATGGGGGGGGGGGGGGGGGGGTTTGCTGGTGACCTGTTGGTGGGCTGGGGGGTCAGCCCACCTCCTGCCCAGCGAATGGCAACAGCGTCGAGCGCAAAATAAATAAACCCACTTTAATATGCGCTCGTTATATTATTTTCTTTTCATTTTCTTGATTTCCCTTTTCCCTTTTTCTTTGCTCTGAATATCTCTCTCCCTCTCTCTCGCATTCTCGCCCTGCTGTTATCATGTTTTTCTTTCGTCTTCTTTTTTATACAATTTTTCGTGTTGTTTTTCCCGCCCAACCTCGCTTGTTTGAAGTGCCACGCTCTATTTAAAGGCAAATTGTCTGTAGTCCTTTTTACAAATATTGTCTTTCTTCTTTCTTTTGCATATTTAGCCGCTGCTTTCTGCTGCAGCACCCCCGCATTACCCTCCCCCTCCCCCTACCGTAGTCAAATGACGAAAATTGCCTCGCAAAAAACTGCGATCTGGCTCAGAGTCTAGACATTGTGGAATTAGTTGGCGCTCAGTCTAAAAATGCATAGAATCCCCTCAGCCCCCGTCCACTTCCCCGCCCCCGCAAGCCTACAAATACTAAGAGCTGGCCGCTTGAATTAGCATCTGAACCAAGTGCGCTGACCTGTAGAGCAGCAGCAAAAGCAGCCGCAGCAGCCGAGTTTTTTATTGCGGGTCAAGTCAGTGGGGACGCTTTTCATTTAAGTGGATATTATTAGAGGATTGCACTGCACGCGTACTCCAATGACCACTTGTCTATGGCCTATGATAAAAGCTGTATCTATATAGACTGCATTACCTGACTGATTAGCTGAGGGACTGATGGACAGATTGACAGATAGACTGACTTAATGATTGACTACCTTCATAATAAAAGCCGAAACATTAGAGACCAGGCCGATTAAGTGAGGGACTGATTGACTAACAGATTGACTGATTGAAAGAAGCCAAAAATAAAAGGTATAAACTGCAGAGTGCTCTATCAGACCGATAGTT